GGCCTAACTTTAAAAATATACACATGAGTATATATAACTAACATTTCATCGGAATTAATAATCAACGTATAATATAATAACATCAATATAATAATAATATATATATATAATAAATTTTAAGTGACAAGTACTGAGACCTATAAGATGAGCTGTGCCTAAAGTTACCGAAAGGAGTAACTAACTAAATTTATACGTATTACTATCATAGTCATAGTAAATTTAAAATATAAAATGTGAAAGTAATTAATTTTATTAAAGTCTATAGTACATGGGTCCAACAATAGCTTTCAAAAAAGGCTCTAAAAATTAAAAAAATGTAGAATGATAAGCACTAATATATGATAATAAGTTTAACTAAATTAATATAAAAGTATACATTAATTTATAAAAATATATATCTTTTTTATCTACCAACACATTAACTAACTTAAATATACAAACATAATACATTATCTATCTCAATAACACCATAAATTATAATAATGTATAAAACAATATCACTAGTATCTTATATTGAGGATCGGCACAACAGGCGTAATATCCTAAATCGATATTTCATCATCTTTCCCAGTCCATTACAACAAATATCATAATATAAAAGCTATTTTGTCTATCATTTTCTCTATATACTACACAATCCTCTCAATAATATGTATAGTGAATAATATATAAATATATTATAAAGATCTGTGGCAAGTATTAGTTATATTCTTCACAAACTTAGATTAAGGTTCACAGAAAGTAAATCATTAAACCGGTGGCTAAATAGTAAAAACAAATGGAGACTATTATCTCACTCTCTGTAAAGTATATATGATATAAAAGAGTTGGAACGAAACAACATAATAATTTAAGTATATAGTTAATATATAAGGTCACTCTCATACAAATAGGTAAGATATACTGGGCCTATATATGCATCTGAGGCAGGTAGTATAAATATGACATGTGTGAAATAATCAACATTCTAATCTAGAAACTTAAAAATATACTTCTTTAAGTACTTAATTCTATTAAACCTATAAATTTAACACATTAACCTAATATAAATATTAATTAGTTCTTAATAAGCGAGAGTAACGTATAATAACATGAGTATGATATACAGTTTAATAATTAAATATTTTTGAAACACAAATTATTTGTATATGCTTAAATGAATGTAAGAATATTTTCACTAGTTTATTAAAGTCTAAATACTTGATAATAATCACTAGATATACTACTACATAGATTATAGTACCATACCCAATAACTAAGTTAATTCGATGTAAAATATCAATATTATAACGCGTAAATAAGATTAAGAACGTAGTCATTGCTATTTAATAAAAAAAATCTAATACCATAATAATTAGTAATTATTAAAAATACTAGTGATAAATAAGTAAAGTGTCTCATTATACCATAATCCAAACTTAATTCTTTATACACCTATACATAAAGTAATCATAATACTAATTATATAAAATAAATAAATATAATTAGTGATGTTATAACATTAATATATAATTAATACTAATATAAAGAGTCGAGGTGATACACTTTATTTTATAAATCACTAAGCTTGAGAGTAGATCTAAAGAGCTAATAAGCAAACACAATACCCATTTATCTATAATATATATAAAAACACTCTATACCCTATGAACTATTTAATATCATAACATATTACTCGAGTACTATGATCACTACTATATAACCATTTAATAAAGTACATTACTATATAATATATACTGTAATATAGGATTGGCAGAAGGGAGTCACTAACGACAATAGTATACAAATTTCTAATTCAAAGTTAAAAGTATATACTAACTCCTTTATATGCTCACGCTAAATATTTGTACATCATATCTAATAACATTCATTGGTAGGTTCATATGAAATTTGTCTTCTCCTGTGGTATTGTTTGTTTGTTGCAGGTGAGGATTTGAGGTGGATTAACATGAGTCTATAATCCCGTATTTTCATCTAGTCATAGAATATATATACAATAATATCAATGGTAATATCTACTTAATATATAGTATATAAAGGTAGAATCACTTATCTTTTATTAATTGTATAAATAATCACATAGTTATAAGTCCTTATAATTAGCATAATAAATCACTAATAGTAACTATAGGAGATAAATGACTAAGATAGATAAAAAAAATACAATTTGTTATATAAATGTAATAAGATTAATAAAATATAATCATTCTCCTTTAATAAATTTATGAGTGAATATTTTGTAAGCTGTTTCAAAATTTAGATAAATTCAACAAGCCTATGGTTAAAGATCATAAAGTATGTTAATAGTTAGTTAAATTAATATCTCTAACGTTGAAAAAGGAATGAAAAGACTAGAATAGATGTAACACTTAATATTAAATCACTTTGAGATATAGTCAATTTATATAATGCTAAAAGTAATAATAATAGCTATCATTATCATCTTGAATATATAACGCTAATATAAATCAAATAATATAGTCCATAATGCAGAGCATAGTTACAATGAATAACATCTAAAGATAGCCTGTGCCTCCTATTCAATGATATAAATCCATCCTTTCATCTCATACTAACCACGCAAAAGTCTATGTCTCACATAAAAATCCTTCCCCAATATCGTTTTCTCATACAATTTTCCACAACTCACTACCTACCACAATATATCTATCTTCCACACCTCACAATTTCTTAAACACTAACAAACAAACACATACCCTTGAATAATACTACAACCATTCTGAGAGATTTAACTAAATAGACGAGAAAAAAAATACAAATATATGTTGTAATATTTCTTTAGCGTTTGGTGGAGCTCAGTGCACATTATATCTTGCCCTTTTAATCCACCTCCTTCTCTCTCCACCTTGTTCTGCCGCCTACTCACTACTTCCTAACAGCACCCTATGGCCAGCTGGACCGCGGTTTACCAAGAGGGTGGAGGAGCACTGTCTGGCATGAATGAGGCAGGTGTTCTGCCTTGGACCCTTGGAAAGACGGTGGAGGTGAAGCACATGATCGTCTCCAGTCCCTATAGACCATGGCTAGTAATAAATACAAGCCACCCAGGATCTTCTCCACGAATGACATCACAGACTGGAGGAATGGGGTCACATTGTGGAGGAATATCCCTGCTTCATGGATGAATCTAAGCACCACATGATGTGATTCTCTCAAGAATGTCATCAAGCCAACTGTTAGTGTAACAATCAGTATTATCAGGAATCTGAAAGGAAAAGATTTTGTATAACATGAATATTTCTTTATACAGATAAAGTCCTTAGATGAAGTTCAACAACCAAATACCAAATATATGGTACTTTAAAACAGTATCTTGTCAGCTCTTTAGAATATCCTACCTGATAGCATCTCGAATGTTGCTAAGAGTGAAAGTTGTAGCGATGGCAGACCAGACCAGTGCAAAGTTCAGATTCTGTGCTTGGTCCCACCAGTCAGCAAACTGCTGGCTGATTGCCTGCATCTCCTTGCCTGGATCATCTGATGCTAACTGCTTCCTTCTTATACTGCGGGCTCTCTGTCCTTCATAGTCTTGAGGATGATGCTCCTGTCATAATGATACTGAATGAAAACCCACAGTTTCACCAATCTTGATATTTTTAACTTTATGCCACTGTAGATGCAATTTATTGTACCTTAAGTTACCCTAACATATTTCCCAAAACTGTCACATCCCACCATGAGTCTGGGAATTGAGCAATTTCTTATATATTTCCAATACGCGTTTCATTAGTTTTGTACTAAATATTAATTAATATAATAATAAATAATATTAAAATATTAAAATATATTGAGTATATAAATATATCATAATTAAATATATTAATTATAATATTATATATATAATGTGTGTTAGTGTGTGTGATTATGTTTGGTAGTTAGTAAGTGTGATGTGTGTGTGTGTGTAAGAATGTGTTGTGATTGTGTGAATGTTGAGTAGTGAGGTGTATAGTTAAGTGTGATGTGGTGTATGATGTTGTTGTGTGATTAGTACGCTTGAGTGCATGTGTAGTGGCAGATGTAGCTATAGTGTCGTGTGCGAATGTAGCATTGTGATAGTGTGTGTCGGAAGTGGGCAGTGTGTGTGTGCGAGTGACAATTGTAGTAGTGATAGTGAACGAGTGAGCATTGTAGTAGTTGAATGTTATGCGAGTGCATGTGTTACCTTGAGCGGTATAGAGTGTGCTGAGCATGCATGGCAGTGTGTTAAGTGCGCTAATCATCCTATAATAGATATCTATTGATACAAACCTGTTCAGAAAAATTTTTACCTTAAGAAACGCTTAAGTATAATGTTCTTGCTTGCAAATGCTTGTAGAGTTGGTCAAGGATCAGCGCCAAGTGATGCGCCAATATGGTTGCAGTTTGCCGGATCCGTCCTTGACAACTTCATGTCGAGTTCTAGTGAACAAGCTGTGGCCGTTTGGTGTGCCATTTGTACTAACAGTGAATCATGGTGGAAACATGTTGTGTGGGTCTGGTGTTCGTTATTGTTCAGCTGCTGGTGGCTGATAGATAGATGTGTGTGTTTAGAATTTGGATAATTTAGTAGTGAAGAACTTCATAGTTTTACAAACACATCATCTTGGTTACTTTTTGCTCAATACTCCATAATGTTCCGGCAAAAATTATGTGATATATGAGAGAGTATGCTACATTTGCCAGTATATACCATAATTTATCCAATTGATTCTTTTTATAAAGTGTAATAAACACAATAATATTATCAAAGCAATAATATTGGTATTAATAGTGAAAATATAAAACTTAGCCAGTGTTTCTGATAACTTCATTTAACAATGATTTTTTAAATTGCTGATAAATTATTTGGCCAATGATGAAAATATTATAGATGAAATAGTTATACAGGTGCCGAATTTCAACAAGACTTCCTAAATTAAACAATCAAAAGAGCTAATCACATGTATAAAGCCACGATTAAAATCAGTATATATCGCACACATACTAAAAATATTAGGGTGTTAAACCAGCTTGGAAATGTGACAACTGTACATATAACCTATGGTTCCTATTGTGAAAAGTTAAAAGTTTATTAATAATTTACACAGATTTAGCTCCATAATACTTTTGTCATCAATGAGCCAAATGCTGGTACTACCTATCTAACCTGTTTAATACAATTATCTATACTTTTTTGGAAATACTTTCTTTTATCTTATATTGCTGTCAGTAACATTATGTCCCTAATGATGTTAATATATATAGCCTCCAAACGATGGTTATTTCAGAATGCACTCGTATTCCAAAGACCTATTGCATAAAACAAATAGTTGATATAGTAGAGGTATAAAGTGAACCTGATGCAACATCCCAACTACTCGGTAGCACTCAGCCCTGTTCTATTCTGAAGTGAACATCATCAAAGCCTCTCTTTTTTCTGCTGTTTCTGATTAATCCTGCACTTCATGCATCTTTGCCTGATTCGGTTATTAACAAAGTTTTCTTTAAACACAAACCAGTACCACACATGCAAAAAAAGAAAGGTCACCTTTTCCTTTATGATAAATATAAAATAAGCAAAATAAAAATTCAAATATATATATACACACTAGAATACATACATATGAGAGAAATAAAATCATGTTACCATAAAATCATAACATACCTGATAAATTATCCAGTGACAATTCAGACAAAAGAGACTGCACACCAACACTAGTTATGACAAACCAGTAGTGACCAGGAATGGGTGCTTCTTCAAGTAAAACCCATAAGCAGTAACTAGGATGGGCTGCAGAAGGTGCTAAAAAAAGAAAACATATTAGACTAATTAACTTACTGTTAATCTTAGGGAGTAAAGAACATATGTACTATAATTATATGACTGTGATCTTGAAAAAAACCATTTGAAAATAATTAATTTTTTCATAAAGGAGAAAAATTTATCCTACTTACGTGTTATGTTAATCCACTTTGTACCTTCCTGAACACCTGGAATTTTCCTGATAATGATATTCAGCTGCTTGCTTAGGTCAGTTTCCCACTCATCCACCTCCACAATGTCTCTATAACTACCTAGATTTTCAATCCACTTCCGTTCGTCTACCCAGCCAGAAAATATGTGTCCTCTCAAACAATCTTCAATATACTTGAGACCCTCAGGAGCAAATTTGCACTTGACTAGTATCTTCCGACTATATCCCTTCTTCTTGGATGACACAGATGAGTCAGAATCCTTTCCATCCCTCACAACCTTAATGCTTTTCATCTTTTTTGATCGTTTCTTGATCTTCTGAGGTTTTATTGATGAAGAAAGACTGTCTGATCCTGAAATAAGACTTAAATCTACAACAGACTCTGACTCGGTTTCACCAAAGGAGAGTTCGTCATTCCTGAGCTGCAGAGGCTTTTTAGCTGTGAATGCTTCTGCCTCTTCTTCATTCTGCTGAATGACATCACTACTACTGTAGCATTCCATCTCCTTTACTTCACTGTGATCAGCAGCTACTTCTTGCAAGTGATTTGTCACTGGTTCAGCCTGATTTAGCACTGTATCATCTATCTGGGATATATCTTGATTTGAGAAATCTGTAGCACCAGATCTTTCGCTGTTCCAAGTTGACTTCTGCTCTTCATTTTCCTCATTTAGAAGGCTACCAGTACTCTCTACACCATCTTCCATCTCATTTGGGGCACTGACATCACTTTCTGATGGGATGGTGTTGTTTGCTTGAGGAAGGGACAACAATATAATTTCCCCCGAATCAGTGCTGGGGATATCCTCCAGGGCCTCAGAGTGATGACCTCCACCACTCTCATCCCCAACTTTATCAATCTCTTGTAAAGGCATCCTGAAAGATAAGAGGTTACAAGTTTTACATATGATGAACAGAATTAATCACTGAGGAATTATTCATATGATTTACATAATCATACTCAATATACAGTTACTGTAATCTACCTATCTATCTATTTATCTACCTATCTATAAATATATTTGTACATTTATATGTTTATACATCTTCCTACTCTATATCTCTTTCTACTAATTACCTATTGTAAAGGCATTCTTAAATATTACTCTGCAAAGCCATCTTAAACCTTTTAGCTATAATATAATGCCATTTAAATCAAAATATCACCTTTCCAAATTATTAGTAATATTACTAGTCAAGCATAAAGATGAGTAAAATACGAGGTATAAGTTACTTATAGCAACGTGCATAGATAGAGGGAAATGGACACCACCATCTTATAAAGTGGAAGAAATAGAATAGGATAAAAACATAGTTTAAGCTGCAATGGCCTCATAAGTCACCGCTAAATGACAAAAATTAACCCTGCATATCACCGCTTAGATTCAATGTCGCTCATCTTATTTACCTTGCCATGAATAACACAATATTGATCACAATACTCATTACTGTGATATCCGAAGTAGTTCATGTGTTAGTATGCGCTTGTCAAAACAATATTTGGCTAATTATAAGTGTCTGCTGTTACACATTTTAGTAATGTACTTATACTGCATTTACGTGTTTTAAGATTTATCTATACAATTATTTAGAATTTTCTGTGCATCACATGTTTCACACTTTCAATCGCCAGCCAGTGGGTTGGGTTTGACAGTTCGAACTGGTCATTTTGTGGCAGAACGTTGGAGAGAAATGTTGCGCTTCCAGTGTTGTGTTGATTCTGGGTTATCCTTAAGACTGTACAGTGGCAATGAAGAAGAAATAGACTTTAGTAACTAAGTTTAATATCTGAGCCCATCAAGTGCCCCAAATGCCGAAAAAGAAAAAAGATGAAAATCGAAGCACTCCAGATGGTAGAAAGAAACGAATGAAAGTTTGACATTTCCAGATATAAAGGTATATGGTTTTTCATTTTACTGCATGAACGCAACTCTATCTTGTCAGACAGACCGAGGTGAAGAGAATGTTTCCCTGGGGGTGTTGGGGGTGGAGCCCCCCATCAACCCTCCCCTCCGGCAGTGCCCAAAGGGCACACATCCACGGCAACTTAAATTGTTAGGTTAGGTTGGTTTATTGGTCAGTACATTTTTTTTTTTTGGGGGGGGGGGGTATGAAACATGTGAATTCCCATAGATTTTGCTGTCCCTTGCTATCGGGACTATGAAATCAAAATTGTTGAAATCACTGGGATTTCTACAGAATTTTTTTTTTTTTTTTTTTTAACTTAGGCTCTGGAAGGGTGTGTCACAATCAGTAACAATTATCAAATAAGATTCCACATCATAACAACAAATTACTGTTTTTAAAGGATTACATGCTCCCTAAAGCTTCTTTATAAGTCACAAGTAATGTAATATATGTAATACTACAACAACAGACATATGGCAAACAGAGGAATGTTTGTTATACAAATTTGTCTTACATAATAATCAAATGGCATTTACTGGTCAATTGACATGACATGTGAAATATTCCACTTTTTACTCTGCTTAGTAACAAGACAATCATAACGAATAGAACAAAATAATAAAAGAAACGTCACACAAACGACAGTCAAGATATTTACGCAAAAACATGACTCACTCCTTCATGAAATTCAGGTTTAGTAACAAAAATACTAGCTAAACAAACCTCTAATACATAAATCGTGTCCTCTGGAAGATTAATACACTGTCTATTAGTACTGAACTCTACAGTGTATAGAGAATGAGTAAATAACACCCTTTCTCAACACGCAACACTTAACAATACTCAAATAAATGACTGCCTTACGTTCTGAGACACACCTCTTGCAAGTGAAATGAATAAGCGTACCTTATCATGCCTTGGCACGGGTCCAGGAGGTTTGAACAGGTACAGGTAGCTTTGACTGGCCACGCAGGTAGCCTCGGGTCATGTTTTGATGATCAGCTGATTATGCGATCATAACTCATGGCTATAGTGGATGCAGGAAAGTGGGAATGGCGGCTATTTTGAATGATTCTGTGTTGTGATGAAGTGCGAATAGAGAATGGGTTGGACTTTTCAGTCATTCACTTTATCTCCCTCCTTGTCTATATATATACGCCTGGCTTTCGTTTTCCGTGAAAGTAAGAGAAAGACACCTGGAATGCCCTTTTCTAAGTTGACTATATAAATTCGAATCTGAACTTCAACGTAATCTCATTCCGCATGGTTTTGCAGGTGACAAAGAGGAACAGTTACCCAAAAAGAGAGAAAGAGAAAAAAGAGAATTTTCTCGTTTAATCATGCAATCAAAGTAGACAAAACTCTATGGAGACATTGCTTCAGGTTTAAGTTCCTGCATCTGTGCCTTGCAAGAAATGCACGAATATAGATTAATCATTTGGCAGTGTACGAAAACTGAGATGTCGTTGAGTAATAAAGAAATGACATCTGAAGTGCCTAATGTATCAATCCGCAAATCAGATAAAAAGTTTGGATACAAGAGCATAGAAATTGGGAGAACGGTTCATGAGACATATACAGGGTTAACTACTATAATATGGAAGATGGAATAATGCACTGGCCGCATTTGATATCATGAATTTCATCAGATTTAGCTAGTATTTACTATAATATGCCTCAATATTTTCTCCAAAAAGGAAGGACTTATCTCCCACAAAAGAGACGGTCTCATGAATCTATGGAAAACAAAAGGAGAAAAGGACAAAAACGAAAAAAATATATATACCTTATTCATCACACAGTTTAATAACGAGATACTGTATGTATGCGGATAAGTGATTTAATGTCTAATCTGGCAGAAGTGACATTAAAAACCTCTTGACACAACTTTCGTTTCTCACAAAATCTTATGATCTGGCACGGTTATGGACGCTGAGCTCAACACAATTGCTGTTCATTTTGTTTTGATGTTAGGTATTTATAGATCAGTCATTGGTTTGTCTGGGCAGGCAAGGTTTGGCCCGGGTGGCAAAGTACCGATATGTAAGGTAAAGAAAAATTACTGACCCTTCCCGAGAAAACTGGAGAAGGTAATTTACATAAACTTTATGTATATATTTACGCATTTATTTACGTATTTATTTATTTATTTGCGTATTTATTTATGTATCTATTTACGCATTTATTTATGTATTTATTTACGTATTTATTTATGTATTTATTTACGCATTTATTTATGTATTTATTTGTGTCTTTATTTACATATTCAAGATGATTCATTTATTAGCGGATGTAGTTAAAATAATCTTATCTGCCACACCCTGAACCGGGTCCTTTTGGTTTGCAAGCCACCCTGCAATTATGATACCAGACAGCCCCTGTGTCTGGGTGGAGCTATTAATTATCGATATTACCATTAATGGATGTGAATAAAACACACATCCTTCGAAAAGAATACAACGATGAATTTCTAGACTTCTGTCACACGAAAAATTAATCCAGATTGATATCATTATTGTAAATATCTTCAAATACTTTCGGCCGGTTTGTTAAAATTGTGCAAGGCCCGACCCAAGAAATATTCATTATACAGACATGCATATATATAGAAATAAATGCCTATATCTCAGTTCAGACATGCATATCTACCGGGCAGATACACAGATATATGTATTTCCGTGTATATGCATACCCGTACATGAAAATACTCACAGAATCGGGCCTCGCACAATTTTAACTAACTGGCCGTTTCTCTTGCTTGAGATCGTGGAACCAACTTTGCACTTGTTAAATTCATTAGGGCTCACAGGCCTTTTAGAGATCAGTTATACATTACCATTCCTTACGTTGTGAAGAAGAGAAACTAAGGACAATATAAATAGGAAACGAAGTGAAAGTACTTTTTCAGCAGTAGTGATCACTTTGAGACATCAGTGAATGCGTATATAACAAAGTAGATCTTCGCATTGTAAAGGAAACAGTTTGCCGCGTTAAAATTCTGCCAATAACGTACCAACTGTTAACAGGTAAAGCCTAGTTATAGAGTACCTAATCCTAAATGATGTAGTGAGGGTCTACAGTAATCACTTATTTCGTAGGGGTCGGTAATCTTTGAAATCTGTTGGAGAGGTATAAATAATGAAAAAAAAAATTATAATTCCTATCGAGTTGAGACGCGTCATAACAATAGGGCGATTCTGCATGACGTCAGCAGCTTGGCAACGCATAGCAACATTTCCACGGGGTGAAAACACACTGCAAATGTTGCCGCCAGCCTAAACATTCGTTCTGGATTCATTTCACGTTTTCTAATAGTTTTCACGACATCCTTGAGGTGTCACACGGATATTTCAGTACATTAGAAGGAGAAGCAAATATTCGCTACATGGAGAAACTGAAAAAGTAAATCTGGAGGATTGTCCATACAGATTGCCAGCTGATGTTTGGATTAGTAATCCCGAGACATGGCCTGTCGATATATATATATATATATATATATATATATATATATATATATATATATATATATATATATATGTATATGCGTATATATATGTATATATATGCGTATATGTGTATATATATATATATAGTATATATACAAATGTATATATGTGTATAGATATGGATATATATATATATATATATATTAATATATATATATAAGTGTGTGTGTGTGGTGTGTGTGTTGTGTGTGTGTGTGTGTGTGTGTGTGTGTGTGTGTGTGTGTGTGTGTGTGTATGTATATATGTGTGCTTATATATATGTATGCGTGTGCGTGTATATATGTATATATAGATATATAGATATATTACATACATATATATATATGTATATATATTATATATATGTATATATGTATTCATATATATGTATATATGTATATATATGTATGTATATGTAAATATATGTATATATATATGTTTATATTTGTAAATATATATATATATATATATATATATATATATATATATATATATGTATATATATGTATGTATATATCTATATATATGTATATATATGTGTATGTATGTATGTATATATATATATATTATATATACATTTATATTTATATATATGTATATATATATATATATATATATATATATATATATATATATATATATATATATATATATATATATATATATATATATATGTATTCTGTGGCTGGCGTGGCAATCCCAAAATCTTTGGTGTTGATATTCTGAGATACCCTGGCACACGTGTCCACTACGAATAGAGAAGGCTGCCTTCTTATCACAAGCCTAAAACTGGTAAAATTCGGTTAATGTACGTTATCGCGACCTGAACGTTTTTCATCCACTATCTCGCTTATGGGTCGCTGTCTTCTGCTTCATCAGCCCTTAACGTTTCGTCTTCACTTTCTCGGATAACCATCACGGTTTGTGACGCATTTCATAGTTATTTTGCCTAACACTCCCAACTGAGTGTGCAATTCTTCCTTGTTTCTTTAGAGATTTGCCTACCACTAATTTTACTAAATTTCCCAAAGTTGTCGGAGGTCTGGGTATGTAATTAGCGGAGAGCGTTCTAAAAAAGATTCTCAATTCATACATTTCACATTACCTGTTCAGCCTAGATCCGCCAACGGGATGTCTGGGAAGGGGAAAAGCTGTAACTACTGTTGAACTGCGAAAACCCAACCAACACCGTGTTTGATCACGTTCTGTCCATATTCTGCACTCCTCTAGGTCGACTTCTTGCTGTAGCCGGTGTAGAAAGTCACAGACATTCCATATTATATGTTCTTGCCTGCATAACAGCAATCCAAATGACAAGTTACCTTGGACATTGCATTTTTACGGTCCTCACTGTCACAGACTTGCGTTATGTTCTACAGTCCTCAGTGTCACAGACGTTTATTATAATAATTCTTACACTTTCTGTGTGGTAGATGGTGGCGAGCAAGACGCAAGGATCTTCAATATTTAAAACGTGGATTGGAAGACTTCCTTCGTCTCATTTGAGTTGCATTCCGCCAGTCACAGATTCCAACATTCCTCCACAGACCTTATCACGTCTAAACAACTGCTGCAACAACACTGCCTTTTGGATGGTACCTAAAGTATTGTGTAACATTATTTCATTCAAATATATGTATCACTGACTTCCGCAAATGAACTGTTCTTGTTTCTTGCTCCCCCTCAGGAGAGTAGACACCAGGAAGTCATGATTCACACTTCTCAAAAATATTTTCTTTTGATACTAACAAAGATCAAAGGGAAACCGGAATAAAAGGAGGGACGCTGATATGCAAATAGATACCTACAATCATACATAAATCTCTTTGCATTATAAACCAGATCCGTGTTTAGACCCCCTTACATGCTATGAATCTTTTCTTGGCCTATCTACATGTTATAGATCTAGTCTTGCCTATACATTTTTTACGTATAAATCTCACCACAACTTTGCCTTTCCCAGTAATTTGATTTTAAAAAACCTCACCAAATCAACACGAGAAGTATCTCTTGACATGACCTACTGCTTGACATGACCTATTGCAGGAACTTCTCCCCCTCAAAGTGATAAGCCTAGTTCATGCTCCGTTATGCCTCTTCTAAAGTTTTTATTTTTCTTTGTTTTCTTTGCCTGCTTCCCTTGTTTCTTAAGGTATTGTGGGTATTACTTTCGCCATCAAAATCGTGATATTGGTAATAATATTTTTTTCCTTATTAATATTATCAGTAATTCGTTGCTATACTATCGATACAACTATTATTATTACTATTATCATAATGATGATGATGATGATAATAATAATAATAATAATAATAATAATAATAATGATAATGATGATAACGATAATAACAACAATAATGGTAATAATGATAATAATGATGACAATAATAATAATGGTAATATTGATAATAATAATGATAATAGTAATAATGATGATGATTATAGTGATAGATATTGGTTATTATTAATTATCATTATTATGATTATTGTCATTAT